CCCCCCACCGCCTGGCAGGGCAAAGGACTACAGGTGAGGGGGTGGGGGGAGATGGACTCAGGCAGGATAACCTGGGACCGGGTGGGGCAGTGCAGGTGACAGAGCCCAGCGCCCTAAACCCAGACGTATAAAACCCGCAAGTTACCAAGTCTCCCCTTCACCACCCCCAAGCCCCCAGCGGGACGGGGGTGTCTCATCTCCTGCGGGCAAAGACGTGCAGCCCAATCTCACCGGCGTCCCAGCCCACCGGGCCCGCTCCACACCGGCCGAGCTGGAAACCAGCCTTCTAGGAGGTGGGGTTCGGAAAGGAGCCTTGAGGATCCGCTGGCCTGGCCGGTGGTGCGCACCGCGCGGGGACACCCGGGCCGAGGGCAGGAACGGGGCCCCACCCCTCAGAGGGGAAACCGAGGCTCGGAGAATCTCCCCCACCCCCACCTCCCAGGGCTGCCCGACGGGGCGGGAGGCGGAACCACAAACAGGGCGAAGGTCAGAGTGAAGACAACCTTCCCTCGAAACCACCCAGAGAGGAAATGCTCAGACAGACCACAAAAGCCCTTGAACAGCAAGAGAAAACCCAGAGACAGGGCTTCTGGTGGGATCCTGAGGAAGCGTCCAGAAAGCCAAATGGCTGGCCAGCGGCAGGCGGGGGACACAGGCCAGTCACCCCACCCTCCAGAGTCACACACTCGCCACTCCGTGAGGGACTCACGGGAGCTGGACACACCTGGCTGCAGACCGGGGCAGGCGGACCCGGAGGTCATGGCCATCTCCCCGCCCCTGGACTCATCCTCTGGGACCCACCTCATTCCTCCCTGGGGAACTGGAATCGGAAATAAAGTGCAGAGAAGCGGCCCCTGTAGGCTCGCCCAGCCCAGAGGGACACATCAGAAGAGCCTGGACACCAGAGCTATTCAGGGTCCTGGACAAACAAGGAGAGAGTGGGGACCTCTGTCCAGCTGCCACTGTGGGAAACACCCTGAAAACGCAGCAGCAGCAGCTCCGGCCCTCCCGCCACAGACAGGACCACAGCAGGCAGAGGAGGGCACTCCTGGGCAGCCTGGACCCCGACAGGTGTCGAGGGGATGCTAGATGGAGGATGCCGGACAGAAGGGCAGAAAGAGCCTCACTCACCAGCATCAGGGGAAGGGCCTCCAGCCACGGGGCGGGGATGAGGCCGGGGGTCAGAGGAGGAAGCAGGTGGAGGGGTCCTCAGGAGGCTCCTAGGTTGGAGGGCGTTGGGCCTGAAGGGGGAAGTCCTGAGCCACATTCAGGAAGGAGGGGAGGCTTGTAGGGGGTGCTGACGTTCAGAGGGGTGATCAGAGGTAGGAAAAAAGCCAGGGAGTGACTCCACCATCCTGGGGGGGGGGAGAGGGGCAGGGCCTGCGCTCCCTCCGCCTTCCCTCTCGCCCTGCTCAGACCCACCAGCCTTCCTGAGTAGGGTGACTCAGGGATCAGGTGAGTCAGGCACCCCTGGGGGGCCCGACGCTACACGGCCCCGACTCCCTGGGCCCCATCCTGGCGTCAGTGTGGGTCACGTGGGCTCCACTTTCCAGGTGGGGGGGGCAGAGGCTCAGAGATCGAGGGGCACGAGGCCATCCAGTCAGAAGCAGAGCCAGGCTGTGAGCAACGCCGTCCCCCCAACCCCAAAGACTCCTCCACCTGACCTCCCTGGTGGCACGATGGTTAAGAATCCGCCTGCCAATGCAGAGGACACGGGTTCGAGCCCTGGTCCGGGAAGATCCCACATGCCGCGGAGCAACTAAGCCTGTGCACCACAACTACTGAAGCTCGCGCTCTAGAGCCCATGAGCCACAACTACTGAAGCCCGTGTGCCTAGAGCCCGAGCTCTGCAACAAGAGAAGCCACCGCAATGAGAAGCCCACGCACCACAACGAAGAGTAGCCCCCGCTCGCCGCAGCTAGAGAAGGCCACGCGCAGCAACGAAGACTCAATGCAGACAAAATTAAAATAAATAAATAAATAAATTTATTAAAAAAAAAAAAAAAAAGAATCCGCCTGCCAATGCAGGGGACATGGGTTCGAGCCCTGGTCCGGGAAGATCCCACGTGCCGCGGAGCAACTAAGCCCGTGCGCCACAACTACTGAGCCTGCGCTCTAGAGCCCGCACACCACAACTACTGAGCCCACGTGCCACAGCTACAGAGCCCGCATACCAGAACTACTGAGCCTGCGCTCTAGAGCCCACGAGTCACAACTACTGAAGCCCGCGCGCCTAGCGACCGTGCTCCGCAACAAGAGAAGCCACCGCGATGAGAAGCCCGCGCGTGGCAATGAAGACCCAACGCAGCCAAAAATAAATAAATAAAACAAATAAATTTATTAAAAAAAACACTCCCTCACTGCCTCCCGGAGCTCCTGCAACAATCCCGCAGAGACAGGGGGCGGCGAGCTGCAGGAAGGGGCAAGGCCCGCCGCCGCAGCTCCTTTGCCCCCGGGCAGCCGGGCCTCAGGAAACAGGATCCGTGCGGGCAGGGTCGGCTTCAGTGACAGACGGAGCCCACTGCCTCCTCCCGTGGGGCCCCAGGGGACGTTAGGTGGGCGAGCGGGGGTCCTCCACACACTGGGCCCTGCTGGCCACCACCCCCTGCCCACCCCCTGCCCGGGCAGGGAGCAGTGCTACCACGGCTGCCCCCGAAGGGGCTCTGCCTGGAGCGCCTTGGCCCCGACCAGGGCCCCAAGCCCACCGTTGGTCTGGATCACTTCTGCTCCCCACCGGCAAGGGACCCCATCGGTCCCACGGAACGTCTGCAGCACCCCGAGGCCTATGGGGTCTCCTGAGGCACCCTGCCTGGCCCATTGAGGGGCCGGCAGCCATGGTCCCCCTTCCTGACGCCACCATGTCCTCTCGGCTCTGCACCCCCGGCACCCAAGCACCTAAGGCTCCTTCTCGATCCAGTTTTCCCTGATGCCCCATGTTTCTCCCCAGCCCGCCAGCCCCCCTCGGGGAAGCCAGCCTCTGAAGGTTTCCTTTCTGGCCAGAACGTCGGCCTCACCGTGGACCCGAGATACCGGCTCTGGTGGGCGTCGCCAGCCCTGCTGAGTGGGGCTCACTGCTCACGGCGGGGGTCAGGCCAGCCGCCCCCGCCCCACCTCTGTGAGGCTCTGTCTCCTCCCACCTTTCAACCAACCTACCCAAAAGAAAAACCAACTGAAAAACCACAAGACGCTGCCGTACCAGCGGTGTGTGATGTGTGTGTGTGTGTCGGGGGGGGGGGCGTGTAAAGCTCCATGGGGCTTCTGGGAGGGGGTGAGGGACCCACCACTCGAAGGGGAAGGTCCTCAGGGGACACAGTGAGGACAGCGTGACTGGCGCCACACTTTGTCTTGGAGAGGGAAAGGGGGGACCATCCTCTCTGCTAGGGGTCAGGCGGTCACATGCACTTACTGGGGGACCCGGCCCTGCGAGCACCAAGGCTCGGCGTGCTGTCATACCCACAGGGGGTGTTCTGTGCCCGTCCCAACAGGACACCCCCCATTCAGTGCCCGACGCGTGTGCGTTAGCAACCCCGAAAACCCCGAGCCAGGCACTGTATCCCAGACCAGACCGAGGAAATGGCTGTCCCCCCAGGTCCCTCTCAACCTGAGACCCCAGGGAAAAGCCCTCAGAAGGAAGCTCTGACCCCATCACCCCACCTAACAGAGGGCACATGAGGCGGAGAGGGCCTGGGAGGCCATGGAGCCCAGAGGCACAGCGGCAGGCAAGCAGACTGGGAGCCCCCGACCACTGCCGGATCCTGATGTCGAGGGGCAGCCAGCCCTCCCCACCCGTCACCGTAGCTGCCCCTCAGGGTCAGCGGCAGGAAGGGTAGCCCGCCGGCGCCAGCCCAGAGCGGGGCCGAGGATAGGATGGTGCAGCCTTGGTAAACCAGGGTCCGAGTTAGGCTCTCACCTCCCCGACCCTGCCCAACACAAACACATTCCCCGGGTGACCACGCCTTTCCAGAGCAGCAGGTGCTCCCACGGGAGGGCTGTCCGGAGCCTGGGAGCCCTGGAGAGGGACCGGCACCCATTCCGGCAACCAGCACCAGGCTTAGCTCAGGCTCCCAAGGGCTGAGCACCCTGGCCCGCCGTCGCTGGGACGTTTCCCACAGCCCAGGTGCTCGCAACTTAGCGCATCCTGCTGCCCCTCCCAGCCTGCGGGGCATGGGGGGGGTCTGTCAACCCAGGGGACAGTCACACGGTCACTGGTGTCTCCCCACCCCAGACCTACGACAGCCTGGTGGCAGCTAAGACAACAGAGCACAGGGTGGGTGTGCGCCTTATCTGGGGTGCACAGCCAGCAGGGCCCCAGCTCTTAACAGGCAGCCTCCAGCACCGGGCTGGCACCACCACGGCTCTGCCCGACAGCGCAAGAGGGCTTGGAGCTGGGCAGCACCCCGTTCCTGCCCTTCCTTTCCCTTTGCTCCCAAGTTTCATCCCTGAGACACCTTCAGGCCAGGCTGCCCCCAAGCTCCGCCTCCTCCTGATAATGCATCACGAGGGTCCAGCCACACGACACGCATTCGGCCTCACAGGAAGTGAGGACGTTCCTGCCCCCGCGTACCGGGGACCTCGGCGGGGACCCCGGAGCCCCAGATCCTCACGATGGTTTGACACCTGTGACACAGGTACCCCCCCCCCCCCCCCCCCCCCGAACACCCTCCGGATCACACTCCTGAACATCACTGTGGAAACGCTGCCACACGGGTCACCGAGCCCAGCTTCCAGCACTGGCAGAAAAATCCCACTGGGGCACCTGAAGGCCCCCCACCCCGCATCCCAAGTGGCAGTTCCCAAGCAGCGGCGAAAGGACTCTCCCAGGCACCTCGTGACCTTCCGGTGCACTCTCCCAGTACTGCAGCAGGAAGGGAGGGGGGTTTCCCCCCAAGTGCACCTGCCGGTTCTAACTCGAGATCATAAAGGCCCTAAAAAAGGAGTTAGGTTGAGAACTGATTCTCCTGTGGGATAGTTAAAACCTGGCAAAAGAAATAAACACTCACCCACAGCACTGACACAGCAGAGCCTCCGGCCTCTGGACAGACACCCCCACACAGGTAACCGTCATCTCCGCTCCAGATCCAGAAAGTGACGCTTTGCCTTTAAGAGGCCCGTGCTTCTCAGAGGCAGGACCACAGGCACCCGGAGCAGGGGTGCAGGTGCCAAAGGGATTCACAATGGGCGGGGCGGGGTGGCTGAGGAGGTGCAACAAGCCACTCACCGCCTGGGCACCTACCAGCAGCCCCGAGCCAAGCACAATGGGCAGTGCGCGCTGCTCTGACACCTGCCGCAACCAGGGGGCAGAGCCTCGGGTGGGACGGCGGGCAGGCTCCCAAGCAGGGGCTCCCCTGACAAGTTCCCAGCAGGCAGGAATACGGCCAGCAGGACGCTGCTTTCTGCCACCATTCACTAAAGTCTCCTTCGGAAGCAAGGAATGCTGACTAGATACTGCCCTGCTAATGCAGGGTCTGTGGGCCCTGCCTGGGGGCTCTGTCGCTTTACAGCTAGACCATCACGTGGGGAGACGGGAAAGGCGGACCAGGCTACTCACTCGCCCACCCACACGACCGCCCCGAAAATCCAGCGACCTGCAGAGAGGCTTGAAGCAAGCGGCCAGATGCAGCCGCTCGCTGGGGGGCGGTGGACCCCCCCCCCACTCCCGACCCGGCCCAGCTCCCCCTGGACCCACTGGATGAGAGCCGTTCTCCCGAGGAGAACAGGACCCACCAGCGGCGGACGGAGAGCCAGGCAGACGCTGGAGCCGGCCCGCTGGTCCCGAACCAACCACTCCACTCGGGGCCGCGGCCAGCACTCCCCAGGGAAAGCTCTGCCGCCGAGAACCAGGAAATGGCCGTGCGCCTCGCCGCTTGCCCGGCGCAGGGCTCGGGCAGCTGGCAACTCGCCAGCCTGGAGGAAGAGGGCGCAGGAACAGCCGCCGGCTGCGGCGGGCGGTAGGCGGTTCGCTTTTTACCCCGCCACCCCCCCCCCCCCTTTCACTTTCTGCCCGTGACCGCTCTGCTGGGCCAGGCAGGCAGGAGCAGAATATTTACAAATCCTCTCCCTTTATTCAGAGCTCACTTCCCAAGCACGCGCGGGCTGTGGTGGAGAGAAAGCAATTACTCCACTTTCTAAAAACAAAACAAAAATTGACCTGGTGCTGCCCGTCCCTCCTCCCCGGACGTCCCCGTGGCAGGGCTGGGACTGGATCGAAGCTTCTGAGAAGCTGCTTGGGGCGGGATTCCAGAGTCCTGGGGCCCCCGAGGTTACCAGAAAGGTCAAAGCGAAATGGCCCACACCGCCCGCCCCAGATGCCGTGTGCCCTATCTCTCCCGATCTGTAACCACCAGCACACATCAAGGCCTCAAGACAGAAAAGGGCAAACACAGAGCTTTATTTGCAAATGAGAGGCCGCACTCAGGGCTGCCAGAGGACGGAGGGAGGGAGGGAGGGGGGAGGGACGGGGGAGGGAGGGAGGGAGGGAGGGAGGGAGGGAAGGAGGTCCCTAACTCTTGAAGACTCAGCCTTGCACGGGTTCAGGCCTTTTCTTGTTACCCTTGAAAGCCAACTACTCCCCCAGAAGACATGCCGCCCAGGCGACTTTGCGTAGATTTCAGGATCTCCCCAGAGCCACTCCATGGACCCAGGAAAAGAACCCCTATTTTAAAGAAAGAGTCAGGAAGAAGGCCTACAAAAGCAGGATTAAAAAAGAAAAACAAACAAAAAAAACTTTCTTCTACGTCTTCACTTGGGGGGGGGCACGAGGAGGAGGGGCCAGAGCGACTCCTTCATTTACTTGCCTTCCGCCCTCCAGCCAGTTTGCCCACTGATACCCAATGCCACCTCCCCATTAACTCTGCAGCCACAACCCAGGGAACACACGGGGGCAGCCCCAGTTATGCACTTTTGGGCAGAAAGCTTTCAGCCAAAATGAAGGATCATAGGATGGTCAGGGACTGGGCCCAATGGCGGGAACCCTCAGGATGGACCACGGGACCACCCCACGTGGGTCTCCAGGCGGACCGGTTCCGTACCCCCACTTTCATCTTTCCAAAACTGCCCCCTAGCCCCGAGGGAAAGGAGGCGGCCCAAGACCTCCACCCCGGCCTGCCCCCGGATGAGCAACCGGTGGAGGAAGAGGACTCCCCCTAGCCCCAGCTTTATTCACGGGGAGCCCACGAGGGCCGGGAGTCCGTGTGAGATTTGGGGTGAGTACTTCTCCCCGATGAGCTTGTGCCGTGCTGTCAGGCCGCGGCCCACCCTGAGTGGGAAGGAGGGCACGCACCCCCGTTCCTCCCGCAACTCAACCTCGCCCGGATTAAGCGCTTTTCGGGCTGATTTCAAAACGGGAACTGGGTCTCCTCTTGGCCGCGCTGCAACGACCCAGCAACTCCAGAGGGCTCAAAGTCAGCTCGCGCCCCTAACTCTGGAGAAAGCGGCCTCCACGCCACGCCGCCCGCTCCCGGGCCCGGCCTCGCCCCCCGCCCCGGCCGCGGCGACGGCCCCCGCGCGATACCCGCGGCCAGGAGCCAGGGCGGGCGGGACGGGCGCGGGGAAAGGGGCGCGGGGAAAGTGGCGCCGAAGCGCACCTTCCCCTCCACGTCCGCCCCGATCCCCCCTTCGAAAGATGGCGGGCGGAGGAAAGGGGGAAAAAAATCCTTTCCGTGAGGGAGGGCGCGCGGGAGATCGCTGGCGCGGGGCGCGCGGGCCGTGCCAACTCCGGGCTGCGCGCCCCGGCCGCGGCGACGCCCCTGAGCCCGGGACGCGGGCGGCCGGGAGGGCGCGGGCGGAGGGGAGGGGGCCCGCGCCGCCGCCGCCG